CACAGCGCGATCAGCGCGTGCGCAGCACGCTGAACTGCACGGCTGGCAAACAGGGCTCGCCAAGCTCTGTGTGTGTGATATATATAATTTTCCTATTGATAGGTTTTATCTTCATCATCACTCATTATGGATATCAAGATCCTAAATTAAATACAAAAAATTTTGATTTAAGGCAGCCAGCCTTTTTTGATAAAGCTGCCAAATATTCCTTACCTCAAAAGAGCATTGCGAGATACGAGACAGATGAGGGCAGCATGAACATGTCTACCAGCCAGGCAGTACGCAACTACGTACTGACACTCGTATCCAAGTGGCAAATCGGCATAGTAGTGCATAGCAGCGCATAGCGCAGGCCTAGAGAGTGAGCGAGAATACTTGAGCACAAGTCATGTCATAACATGATAATAATAAAACTTACTTAATTAGAAAATACAGGACATGTATATGTCAGGGACACCTGACGACCCTAGCCGCCAGTTATTTCGAAATCTATTTCTACAAGCTGCTTCAATAGATGCAGAATAGCTATTCTGGGATACTTCCGGCATCCCGAAATAGCTCCACAGTGCAGACGTACTGCGGGGGAGCCTGCACTACCCTGTCTTAGCAATAAATGGTGATGCCTTCCTAAAAGCAAATCCAGGCCTGTTTCAAGTCTGGTGTGCCAAAGCCGCAGGTAAGGCTTGGGTTAAGGCAGTGGTCCCCAACCTTTGGGGCTGCCGGGCGCCCGGGGGTGGGGCCATGCATGCGCTGCGCACCCGGGAGATGGCACCACATATGCGCCGCGCACCCGGGGTAGGGGCTGCGCATGCGCTGTGTGCCTGGAGCGCAAGAATGGCTCGAGCCAGCCCTGGTCACTAGGCGGGCGCACAGAAATGCCCCGGCAGGCGTCATGGTGCCCATGGGCACCGTGTTGGGGACTTCTGGGTTAAAGGAATCTGAGAGTCAGGAATTGTTTTGCATAACAATGCAGATTAAGCCTGGTACGCGAGACCATGTCAAGATCCCAGGACAAGCAACTTTGCACTGGTACTTCTGTTTCTGATAAGCAAAAAGTACAGATGCAGCCATGAAACTGTCAACTACTCACATAGCAGCAACAGCTTGGGTGGCAGGATGTACCCCAAATAGGGCATTGGGCAGTTTACGTATCCTACACAACACGGAATCAATTGGCAGATACAATTAGAATGACCAGGTCTCGCTTTGCTATCAATTGGGCTTAGTAAGAACAATCGATGGGAGGGAATGGGTAGGATTGCCCCACACTCCTGCTCGATGTAACTAGAAGCAAATAGACCCTTCACACCGGCGATCCAGTGCATGGCGTTCCTATGCGCTGGAAGAAAAGGAACCACAACCTCCTGCCTGGCACTATAGGTAGCATACAGATGAAGTGTAAGTTAATTAGGCTTTATTATTGTATATAGTAGATTGTCTATTAATTGCTTTTGCATTGCTTTGTGCTGTATTCATTGCTTTAGAATTTATTGTATAGTAATTGTTTTTAAGGCTTGTAAAACTTAAACAACTGTATTAACTGCTTAGAGCTTGCAATAAATAAGCAAGAGGTTAAGTAGCCCTTGTGTGCCTGGTTTCCCTTGGATCTAAAATACATCGAACCACACCAAAACGTATCCTAAGTGTCAGCTCAGAACCACCCTTGCCAGAACAGTGGCGGGATTTTAAAATGAATTACAAGCACAAGCCACACTGAGTTGTAGTAATATTTGTGCTCCAAACTCATTTCAGTACTTTCAAAAATCTCACCCTGAAATGTCTGCTCTGAAGGACTCTACTGAACAGGAAAAGAAGGCGCTAAAAGGTCTTGTGCCACTTTTTGCTTTATCCTTTCTTGGTGGCTATTTTTTTGATCTCGCCTGACCTCTGCAATGGAGACGGATGTCCAATACAGAACTCAGAATGACTACACCTACTGCTGACAGTCTGCTGGGGCAATCAATCCCTTCGCTCTGCCAACCTGAAGTAACCCAAGCCCAGAGGATGGACTGAAACATTGATGAGAGCACAAAGCAACTGGTAAAGAAGCTTCAACACAAGTGAAAAGGAGGACAGAACCGGGACAGGGTGGTTTTGCATGTTGGTCGAAAAGCTATTTATATTTAATTGGGCCTCATGCTGTAAACTGGCTGCCTCTGCTGTAAAGTACCCGAGAAGCAATAAAAAAAAAGTTTAAAGAGAATCTAAGCTCAAACATAGACTAGAAAGGGGTTTCCAATTCATAATTCGGCCAGGGCTTTGCTGCCAGTATTTCAGGGAGCTTCCACTATGCTGGTTTGTTAAATACGTGTTCTTTAACTTGGTTGTCAAATGCCAGGGATTGTTTCTGTTGTACAAGTATGCAAATCCAAACTCTTCTCACTTTCGTTCGCTGCTGTATGATTATGAAATACAGTTTGTGTTCATCAAATTACACAGTAAGCTTAGCCAGATACCTTAAAAGACTTTGCTTTGGCATCCGGTCTCTAGAACAGCCATAAAGCATTTCTGAATAGAATAAGGCCATTGGCTCCCAACCTTTCTTAAACCACGGACAGGCAAATCCATTCACAAACTTTTGGTGGACTGGTAAGTTTATTTGCATATTCATTATGCAAATAACAGTGCAAATATGCAAATAAAATGTTATTGGTCCACCAAAATACATACTCCCCCCTCCCCCAGAGCCGCCACAAACAGCCAGCTTCAGCTGTGGCAGCCATCCGTCACATGGTGATTGCCCGAGTTGAAGCCGGCTGCGGTGAGGTGGCTCAGGGGGCCGAGGCGGGGGTACAAGATTCCCTTGATTATATGTATGTATTCGTATATGCCTCCTGGTATTCAAATAGAGATTATACCTTGGACTCAAACAGGTTTCTCATCAAGCAAAAAATGACAAATCTAACGGTGGGGGGAAAAGACAAGACTAAAGTATTTTGAAGAAAAGAGCCATTTTCAAGGGCAGTGCCGTGGGAATAGCTTGTGGACTGTTATCTGTATTGCAGAGCAAAATGTGACTTTCTATCTTAAAATTGTATTAAACAAATTAAGAACTTTATAGAAAAATGTAGATAAACCCAGGCTCATCGGTATTTACAATTGTTACATTTATAAAACCAACCCCGCTCCCAGTCCTGTTCAGTTCACCCAGAGAGGAGAGAGAAAGGTCTCTCTTTTTGCTACACCTTGCAGAACTTCGTTCATAGCGGCTTTCGCAGGGTGACTTTGTAAAGCTAGGCACAGTCGCTGCCCTTTGTGGGTCGTGCCACCCTGAAGAAGGGAACCGCTAGTAAGACCAGGGGCTTGCAAAGGCGGTGACTGGGGCTAGGTGCAGGCCTATGGGTGCTGTAACTCGGTAACTAGGTTAAGTCGACCGATTGCCTTCCTCCTCCCCCTTAACCCCCTGCCATGTTGTGGGGACATTGGGAAGGCTTGTGGGACCCTTTGCTTCCACACTGGCATGAGCTCAGACCCATCCGAGCAAGGCCCTTCCGGGGGGACTGAGAGGAGCCTGTTCCCAACAGCCCCAGGAGGGGGGCCCTCCATAATCCCGCAAGGCCCCTGCTGGGAGAGATGCCAGTTCTTCAAAGCGCCCCACTCCATAATGCGGCCACTGAGCCCTCTCCTCTCTCTAGCAGGGAGAAAACAGGATGGGACCGGCCGTGTACATCTGCTGGGGACGGCTCCCACTTCGCCCTCATGGCCCAGAACAGCCTCCTCCACTGCCCCTCACCTGCCGAGCCTGGTTGGGCGCTTCTGGCCGCAGGGTGAAAGGGGTGGGGGTGGGCAAGCTGGGTAGATGGTTGGCCCCGGGTTCTAGAATCACTCTGGCCCCGCCATTCTCTTCCACTTACTCGAATTTTAGCACGTGCAAGTGCTGACAGGAGTGCTATGGCCAATTGACATCGCTCGTGGGGGCCCATTTTGCAGACGCAGGGCACCCAGGGGGACGCAGTGCAATAGAAGCCTGTGGCGGAAGGTGTCTTAAAACGGGGAACATTGACTCTGGTGGCTGCGATGGACAAACCTGGTCAAGAGGCCCTCCCGTCCTTGCAACCTGATAGGTGGAGAGGGAAGCTGGGGGCCTCCTGCATTGAATAGTGACACAAGGTGCGCCCAGCCCATGCTCCTTGCAGGGGGCGGGGCAGTAGACCTGCTCACACCTAAAGGCTGTGTCTACACTGGCATGAATTTCCGGAAATGCTTAAAATGGAATACTATTCCATTTTCAGTTTTTCTGGAAAAGCAGCCGCTTTTCCGGAATAAGCTGCGAGCTGTCTACACTGGCCCTTTTCCGGAACAGTGTTCCGGAATAAGGCCATATGCCCGAGCGGGAGCAGAATAGTTTTTCCGGAATAGCGGCTGATTTTGTACAGTAGAGCATCATTGCTTTTCCGGAAATTCCAGGGCCAGTGTAGACAGCTCGCAGCTTATTCCGGAAAAGCGGCTGCTTTTCCAGAAAAACTGAAAATGGAATAGTATTCCATTTTAAGCATTTCCGGAAATTCAGGCCAGTGTAGACACAGCCATAGGGTATGAGCGGCTGCTTGTGGGGGAGCACATGCAGCTCGGGAGGCCCTGCTCATGGGCCTTCTGGAAGATGTATCAGTGCCAGAAGTATACCCGTCCCATGGGCATGGCTTGGCAGTGTGCCATGGCCCAGCAGCCAGTGGTTCACGGCCTGGCACTAGTCCACGGACCGGCAGTTGGAAACCGCTGGAATATAAGACAAAGAAAATCAAGAGCATCTCAGATCTGCTAATTGCTGGTTGCAATCTCAGAGGACGGTGTCAGGTTTTATTTTTAAAAAATCCTATCATGAGTTTATGAATCACGCCTGGGAGTATTAAAGCAATATTTACCTACCAAAAAAAGAAAAACAAGTACCACATTTATGTGAAAATGTATCTACTTTTGTTAATGAAACAGGCGAGAGGAAAAAAAACCTGTTTAAATTTGTTCCCTGTGTGCAGGACAGCATTTTGGGGAGACTTGTTTCCATGTCTTTGAAACACCCCCTTTTTTTTTTTTAAGTGATTGTGTAGCTACAAAAATTGGTAAGGGTATTTAGAGAGCTCATGTTGTTTGGGAAACAGACTAGATTTCGAGTCAATGCTGCCTCCTTTAAAACTGAGTTTTTAAAACCTAACATTACTTTTAACCAAGATGCTGATTAGTTTCTGTTTTCATTTCATGCAGCTTAAACAAAGGAAACAGATTGTATCTATTTTGCTCTTATTTTGGAACATCTGCGTGCTAATGATTAGAGCATGGAGAAAGAGTCAGAATCTGGTTCTGCCAACATATTGCTATGTGACCTTTGGTGCATCACTTAAGTCTCCATTTTCTCCTCTGGGAATTGGGGATAATATTTCCCTTCCTCACAGTGGGATTATGAGAATCTGTTAGTTAATATATGGTAAGTGCTTTGAACACAAACACTACATAAAGGCTGTATTATAATCATCAGTCACTTTCACTTTCTGACTCGAGTACTATCAAAATGCTTCAATGTTTGGGATGCACCTGCTACAAGAAAATGTTTACATCCAAAACATCAGATCTGTTTCCCTGGAATTAAAAAAAAAAAAAAAAAAAAAATCTAAACAGAAATACTGTAAAATTTCTGTCACTGGGTTGCATAAGCTTTTTTTTTTTTTTTTTAAAACAAAATCAAAAGTTGAAGCCTACTGTCAACCTAGCAGTGCCTCTAACATGACTTGTGGCAAATGCCAGGGTTGTCTAGATCCGGGAGGACAAGATCCGGCCTGCAGGCCGGATCTAGCCCATGGTTCACCCTGCCTCTCCCCTACCCCCAGGCTAATAGAGACCTGGGGGCAGGGGAGTGCGTGAAGTTATTCTCTGTTCTAAGCGGCTGGCATCTCCCTCCCCTGCCAGGGATGTATGTCTGCTAGAAGGAACTGCCCCTTCTACCTGATGCCCCGCCCCTTCCAGAGGGGCGGAACTGACCAACAACCATAACCAAAGTTAGTGTCTCCCCTGCAAAAATTACTGCCCACCCCGATCTAGGTGGAGCTGCAAGTCAGACAGATGCCACTGTGCCCACAGAAGTGTATCAGCGTGACACTCCTGCGTTTGGGATCTGCGTGAAGAACACAGTGGGTTCTACCAATCGAGACTTCACTGATTCTGTGGCTAAGGTTTTTGAGTGGCTGTTTTTCTCCTGGCCCTGAATGGACTCTCAGCAGCAGGGCAATTATGGAGATTTGCATGGAGAGTTCTTCACCAGCGTGTAACGCTCATTTATTTCGCACAGAAATCCCAAAATAGAAAATACACGAACTCCAGGCTAAAAATTAGCTTCTTATAAAAATGCATCATTTCCCTAGCATGCTGTCATTTAGCACAATGGCATTTAATAGCGTGCATGCTCGAACTCCCTTTTCATGGTCCACTAGCAGCTACTGAAGTCTCCTGCAACAGGACAGGTTGTTCTGTGCACTTCAGAGACCGTGGCAAATTGAAGATGCTGTCATATCCCAGACTACGTACCTTTTCTGACCAACTGCAGAGGCACAGGTTTCGCTTCTGAGACCCAAAGACTGGCCACTCGCCCATCCTGTGGGATCCCTTAGCCAACAACTACATTAAGCATCCAAGAATTTGCGGCCAAAAACAAGCTGCCCATATAAAACCGAGCACTTCTTGGGCCTGATCCCCCAGAGATGCCCAAGTATGATGAACATCCACAGCTCTTCATGAGGTCAGCAGGCACTGTGGATTCTCAACACCTCTCAGGATAAAACTCCTCTTGTTAGTTACTTTTTAAAGGGTTTCCTTTCAAGGAAGGCTAAGCAACACCCAGATAATTTCTAATTACTTGTCCCAAGAATACTATGCCAATGGCCCCATAAGCAGCTTTCTGGAGAGGAACCATGTATTTCTGGATGTTCTCGGGTCCTACAACGGGACTCACAGGCGAAGCTACGTTTTAAGGACATCTCCATAAGTAACTCTTGTGCTGTTTAACGAGTTCTAAATCTATTCACTCCCAAAGGTAAAAATGACATTTCCAGAAAGGAAATAATAAATCAGAAGGAAGGAAACAATTCATTCACTCTGTCCCTTCACCATTAGTTGAAACTAGCAATCGGGTTAATTTATTCCAGATGGCTCAGGAACTGGTGGTAGGGGAGAAGTTCAAGTCAAGACCATTGGTTCAAGTCCAGCAGGAGGTAAAGTCAGGGCACAGGAAATTACAGCACCACTTTAACTGCTGTGTGGACACACAGAAGGCAGCTCTATGGAGGTACCAAAGACAAGCCTGAAAATCACATGCAAGAATGAAGCAGCAAAAGAATCGGTTCATAGTAGATGCTTACGCCTAAAAAAAGGCACTTGTACTGGTGCATTAAGGCATAGCAAGAGCGAAGGGGATATCACAGAGCAGTCTTTACCACTCTTATGTTACTGGGATGTCCTCCAGACTCATGCAGTTGGAACCAGATGTTCCCATGTAAGCACACTGGAATATGTGCAGGGAAGTGTGATCTGAGGAGGGGGAGAAAGAGTTGGAACTACAGTTTTAGAATCCCTGTTTGCAATTCCAGATCTACTTAGATGATAGAAATAATAAATATTAAATGATCCTCTTCCAGCATAGCCTTTTATATCCATTCAGCCATGAAGCCCACAACTGTTGCCATCAATCCATGGGAGCAGTAAGTGCATGCTGTAATATAACGTTGTGATATATTCTTGTTCTGCCTCTCTAAAACATGCTTTAGTCCAATCTGAAAATGCAAGCAGAAGGACTTTAGTTAAACTGTGAGGAAAGTCTGTCCCTTCTCAAGATTGGCTGGCCTCTATTTCAGTGTCCCCCGTTGCTGTTGTGTGTCCTTCATGCTTTCAGCCATCCATGTCCATGAATTTTCTCTTCCTATAATTCTGGACCAGGCTGGAAGCTGTAATCTGAGACGCTTGCCCTTTCTCCCAGCACTGGAAGTCATTCAGCCCCTTCTGGCCAGCTCGAAACAAGGCTCGCTCCAACTCATCCAGCCGTGCCACCAGTGCAGAGGTGTCCTCGTTGTAGGCATTCTGGGAGGAGTCCATGATGCGACGGAAACGGCCAATAAACGTCTAAGGGAGAAAAGCAGAATTACCCAGGGCTAATGGGAGATGCTTCTTGAACTCCAATGCTAGAGACCTGTGTTTATGGAGCTAAAAGATTCACGCTTCTAGCCCCTACGCTGTCTGCATGTAGGCAGCCACGGATTTGTAGGGGGCTAGCTCCTGATTGCTGGTACTCAACTAACTAGCATGGACAGGTGAGTGTACAAAATATTAGCTGCAAAGTACGTGTACCACTGCGTGGAATTAGATTTGGTCAAGTGTGATTGTTGCCTTTTAGTTGAGTGGCTGGCCAACAGAGGCTACTGAAACGGAATACAATTCTAATTCCATCTCTGTTCAAGTGGAAGATGTCATTGGTTTGGAGCAGGGTCCTTGCTCAGCTGGAGGCTTTGAATGTGTGGTTATGCATGTCACAATGCGGCTTAATACCTTTCGTCTCGAAATTGAACCAGATGGGTCTCCCCTTTCTGACGGCAATAGTACTACTCCTGACTGAACGTGTGTGCGTGCATGGTTTGGTAAATGCGCATTCAGTATCATTCAAAAACAAACAATACATGCAACATGCTAAAGAAAGAGGGGGTAATTTTGAAGATTTTTTTCTATCACTATGGGTAAAAACATGTAGATAGTAAGGTACCAAGAAAGGAAAAGGGTTAAACTCTTGATAATCTTTGGAAACTGGATTTAAGATTTCTTAGGAAACCATGCTTCCGGAAGCACCCATCTCGTAAAAATATGAGTTTTATTTATGTCTAGGATAGAGATTTGACATCTAAAACTTTATGTGGTGCGCTACAAGCACCAAATAAGAGACTTTGAAGCTCTCAGTGACGTCTCTTTAGTCACAAATGTCATCTCTACTTCTTTGAACGTCATTTATGTCATGATAAACAAACCACACAACTCTGCTCATTAACAGGGAGCAGGGATGCTGCGGTGAGGCAGATCATCACTGCAGGAAGGGGTTGAAGAGCTCTCCTGGACACCATCAGCCCCAGCACACCTGCCAGGTCCAGAGATGGATAGCTCCTTATAAGGACATATCCCTGCCCAGGACAATGTGGCATTCAGAGAAAAACAGAGTTCCCTAGAATCACAGAGCAGGATTACATATGAGTCCCGGCTGCCTGGACTGCTTGGAAAAGTGAAGGGACCATCTTTACTTTGTTTTCTTTCAGTATAGTCCTGGGCACTCAACCTGGGCCTCTCAGACACACAGAGGAATCGAGACCTCCCACCCTCTTCTCAGAAACGGTTTAACTTTTGCCTTGCAGAGAACAAGGGGGTGAGCCTGTCTTACAGGATTATTTTGTTTGCCTCTTTTGTAAATGAATGGGTACATGGGGGAGTAGCGTCCCTGGGAAAGACAACCAGACTTAACCATGCACTTCGAACCAGCAATGCGTATAGCCACAGAAAGATGCCTGGAACTAAAGAGGCACCCACTCTGCCCCCAGAGGCACAATCTATGACAGACACTTCAGATTTCCTGTTAATTAAGAAGTGATATATCAACGTGGTTCCTCTGCCAGTTAACCTGTTCCTTGTACAAAACTCACAGGACCAGATCTGGCTCCTGGATTGATACAACTGAAGCCCACTGACTTCATTGGGGTCTTTTATATGCACCAGACTGTGAGGGACTCCAAGAACATCTCACCAAACTGAGTGACTGGGCAACAAAATGGCAAATGAAATTTAATGTGGATAAGTGTAAAGTAATGCACATCGGGAAAAATAACCCCAACTATACGTACAGTATGATGGGGGCTAATTTGGCTACGACAAATCAGGAAAGAGATCTTGGAGTTATCGTGGACAGTTCTCTGAAAACTTCCACACAGTGTGCAGCGGCAGTCAAAAAGGCAAATAGGATGCTAGGAATTAGGAAAGGGATAGAAAATAAGACCCAGAATATCTTACTGCCCCTGTATAAAACTATGATATGCCCACATCTTGAATACTGTGTACAGATGTGGTCTCCTCACCTCAAAAAAGATATTTTGGCCTTGGAAAGGGTTCAGAAAAGGGCAACTAAAATGATTAGGGGTTTGGAACGGGTCCCATATGAGGAGAGGTTAAAGCAACTAGGACTTTTCAGTTTAGAAAAGAGGAGACTGAGGGGGGATATGATAGAGGTCTATAAAATCATGAGTGTTGTGGAGAGGGCCGATAAAGAAAAGCTATTTATTAGTTCCCATAATAGAAGAACTAGAGGACACCAAATTAAATTAATGGGTAGCAGTTTTAAAACTAATAAAAGAAAGTTCTTCTTCACAAAGCGTGTAGTCAACCTGTGGAACTCCTTGCCACAGGAGGCTGTGAAGGCTAGGACTATAACAGAGTTTAAAGAGAAGCTGGATAAATTCATGGAGGTTAGGTCCATAAAAGGCTATTAGCCAGGGGATAAAATGGTGTCCTTGGCCTCTGTTTGTCAGAGGCTGGAGAGGGATGGCAGGAGACAATCGCTTGATCATTGTCTTCGGTCCACCCTCTCTGGGGTACCTGGTGCTGGCCACTGTTGGTAGACAGGATACTGGGCTAGATGGACCTTTGGTCTGACCCAGTACGGCTGTTCTTATGTTCTCTGACCTGGAAGTCCTTATTTAAGCTAAAACCATGGTTACAACAGAAGAAGGTTTGCCTGAGCGCAGCAAAGAAAAAGGAATCCAAAGCTACCAAAGGAAATATGGTTTCAGATACTTGCCTGCAGTATAGTCTGAGCTATTTCTGGATTCTCTGGATTGTCAAAATTCAAGAGCTGGGAGCCAAAACCATAATAGTATGGCCCCATTTTATGAAGGTCAACCACATTGGCATCAGCACTGAACACCGTCCGCCAGCTTTCCTTGTAAATCTTAGGCAGTTCCACTGAAAGGATCCTCCGTTTGATGTCATACAATCCTTTTGCTAGCCATAGGGGTATTTCCACCTTTGAGCCCTGCATGCACACAACAGAAACCCCACCCCCCAGAAACAGAGGTAAATAAACTCTGACCAGGATAACAAAAAACATGAGATTTAGATGAACACTGAAGATTCACCAGAGAGTGATTTGATGTCAATGTGTAGTAGTGGAAACGAATGTAAATCAGATTTTTATTTGAGAAAGATAACGCCTATAGACACCAGAGAGAGAGCGTGTGAGTGCGCGCGGCGCGTAAACAAACCCTGAAAGGATAAAAACAATACTACAGTGTAAGGAAATTTACAAGTAGAGCCCCAGGATCCTGCAGACACTTTCAAATATCTGCAACTTTGCTCATATGATTCCGCCAACAGGACCACTCCAGGAAGTAAATTTAAGGAAGGAGTGGGGAACCTTCAGGCCTGGCCCGCAGCTTGCCTGGATCCAGGCCCCAAGGCTCAGGGCTCCCTCCCCCCTCCCAAGCACTGGGGATCCCGCACTGGTGCTCCAGCCCCCCCCCCCCCCCGACTCTGGCCTCCGCTGGGGACTCTCGTACATTTCAAAGACGCACCCAGGTGGAGTCCGGAGTCAGCCTCCTGGGGCTCTTGTACATTTCAAAGGAGGAATGTGGAAGTGCCTATCGACTAGTCGATGGAAATTCCATTGACTAGTCAATTAACCACATTTTAACATCCTTAGAATCAATCATTCACTGCAACCAGGCAGCAGAGGCCAAAATAAATAAATAAATAAATAATCAAGTGTTAAAAGTAAGCTATTAAAAATAAACTTCTAAAAAGATTTAAAATGAAAACATTTAAAAAGATTTGTCAAAGGAAACGGTTTCTGTGCTTGTGTAATTTAAATTAAAATGGGTAAAAGTAGCATTTTTCTTCTGCATAATAAGGTTTCAAGTTCAAGGTTTACAACGTTCAGTTGTAAACTGTTGAAAAAGACAACCATAACACTTCAGAGTTACAACTGTCAGGATTCATTCATCTGAAGAAGTGGGTTGTGCCCACGAAAGCTCATGATCCCATCTACATGTTTTGTTAGTCTTTAAGGTGCTGCAAGACTATTCGTTTTTTAAGTTTTTCCAGTTATAGCGGGGTGAGTAATAATTTTTGAAGAGGGGGCCACTTCACAAATTTCAGACCTGGAAGGGGTGGGGCCTCAGGCGGAGAAGGGGAGGGATTGAGAGCTACCCAACTGGCAGCTGTACTTGACCTGGGGTCCCCCCCAGACTTCTGGTGGAAGAGACCTGGAGCAGAGGGAAAGGTACCAGGGGCTAGCCTTCTCCCAGAGTTGTCTGGGTGGAGGTTTAGAATTCACATAACACAGCTTTCCCCCCTCCCCACTAACCTGTTGCCTGGCACCCGCAAGCCCTTTGAAAGATGCAGTTGAAAGGACTCTGTCTCACAGGCAGCTCACAGGCAAGGAGCTGGTGGGATCAAGAGCTATGAGCCCTTTCTACTGCTTTGGTTTCAAGGCCTTGTGCCCGCTGGTTGGAGCTGTCAGGTAACAGCTTTAGATAGAAGCAGGTGAAAGGGCTGAGCTCCCTGGCAACGCGCTAGAGGGGCCGGGAGCTGCCAGCCCTTTTAACTGTTTCTCTTTAAAGGGCTCTTGTGTTGCCCTGTGGCCTGTGGCTGCCAGGCAACCCGCTGCCCGACAGACATGGGGAAGGCAGGAGCCCTTTTGAAAGAAGCTCCCAGGTCTCCGGCTCCCAGGCAACATGCGAGGGGCTGGATCCAGCCCCTGCGAGGCTTTTGCCCACCCCAGTTGCCGACTAACTTGGCTGCCCCTCGGGGGGATTCAGACCTCCACCCTGCAGGTGCCAGCGATGCTGGGGTGCTGCTGGCGGTGCAATGAACGGCAGGGCAGGGTCCCTGGACGACGCCCACAACTCGCAGCAAAGACCTGCGGGACGCCTCGCTGCAGTGCTTCGCGGGCAGCACGCGGGCAGGCCCTAGCCCGGGGGCGGTTAGCAAGCGAAGTCCCCGGCTGCCTAGGGAGACCTGGGTCCGGAGAGACACCCCCCCCCCCCCCACC